TCGTCTCGGACGTCAAGCCCTTCGATGATCATGGCCTCTTTTAGCTTGACTTCTTTGAGTGAGGCGACATAACATTCCCTGGCCACGGTCTGTTCTCCTTTGACAGTTCCGACGCCGAGATCGGTAGGAAATTTGATGGCAAGGTGATAGGTGGATGTGATGGCTTGGAAGGCGTTTAGGACTGTGCGGCCAAGGATGATGTTGTAAGCAGAGGGGCAGTTGACCACAAGGAAGGTGAGCAACTTAGTGGTCTGCCTCGGGTGTTCGCCAATGGTTATAGGTAGATCGATGGAGCCAATGGAGGTCACACGGTCGCTGGTGAAACTGACCAGAGGGGTTTGGAGAGGAGACAAGCTTTCTTCCCCAATCTTGAGCTGGCGGAAGCAATTGAGGAAGATGATGTCTGAAGAGCTGCCGTTGTCTATAAGGACTCGTTTGACCTTGTAGTTGGAGAGGATGGCGGAAATGACAAGGGGGTCATCATGTGGGTAACGGACTCCTGCACAGTCGGTGTCCGTGAAGGTGATGGGTACGATCCACTGTTTTGATTGTTTGGGAGGTCGGTCCACCGTCGCCACTGCTTTGTCTGAGCCCTGCCTTATTTTTCTGAGCTCTGCCTTCTGAGCCGAGCGGGATGGTCCCCCGCAAGCAAGGCCGCTTGAAATGACTCTAATTTCTCCGACTGGTGGAGGGGGATTGCCTGGAGATCGAGGCTGTGGCGGTGGGCGATCATGGCCTTGGTTGGGTGGGGCTTGGTTCCGGGGTGGTGTATGCTGGCGATTGTTCCTGGGAAGGTCGGTTCTTTGCCGCTGCTGAGGGCGGGTGTTTGTGAATTGGCTGAGGCGGCCCTGACGTATGAAGGTCTCGATCTAATCTTTGAGGTTAATACACTCGTCGATGGTATGGCCATGGTCTTGGTGGAAACGGCAGTATTTGGACTGATCTTTTCGATTGGAAGGGTTTCGTGAAGGCATGGGCCACTTGAGGGGGTAGTCCCGCTGGATCTGATTGAGAACGTGTTCCATGGGAGAGTTGAGTGGTGTGTACCGCTCGAACCGACCGGGCGGTCGAGTCGGAGCCGACCGGTCGGCTCGGTGGGGTCGGTCATTATAGTGGGGTGTTTGGCTATTATACTGGGCGGTCCTGGGTTCTGAGTCTTTTCTCTTGTATCTGGGGGTTGGATTTTTAGTGATTGGCTCCTGCCGAGTGGCCAGAGAATCTTCAGCATTCATGTACTTCTGGGCTTTGGATAGTAGGGCTGCCATGGTGGTTGGACGGTTTTTGGAGAGGGAGAAAAGAAAATCGGACGACCACAGGCCGGCCATGAAAGCCGTGAGGATGACCTTGTCGTCATTCTCCGCTACTTGAAGGGCTTCGGTGTTGAAGCGGGTGACGAAGCTGCGGAGCGACTCTCCCTCGGTCTGATGAATGTTAAGGAGTTGGATGGCTGGGCGTCTCTGACGCTGGGCTCCGATAAAATGGCTCAGGAAAGAGTCACTGAGGTGTTGAAAGGTAGAGACGGAGTCCGTCGGTAGCTGGCTAAACCACAACCGAGCTGATCCCTTCAGTGTCACGGGGAAAGCTCGGCACATGATCTCGTCAGGGAAAGCATGGAGGATCATGAGGGTGTGGTAGGTTTCCAGATGGTTGACTGGGTCCGTCGTGCCATCGAAAGAGTCAATGGTGGGCATTTTGAACTTGGCGGGCAATGGTTTGTCCCGGATGGAGGCAACAAAAGGCGAGTTGGCGGTGACTGAGGGCTTGTGCTGAATGTTCTGCATGACCCCTTGCAGTTAGAGCTTCATAGCTCGGAGTTCAGCGTCCCAGAGGGGAATGTTGTCGCCATGGTCGGTCAATGGAGGCTGGACGCTGCTGGCTTCCCCCTCAGGGGCTAGTGCCACGACTGACGGGCGTGGGGGTGGAGGTGGTAGGCTCATATGTGGAGGAGGAGGAGGTTGTAAACCTTCTGGGTTGAGCGGAGGGGCTTGTGGAGCAGTGTGGACCGGGGTTCTTTCTTGGTTGGGTGGAATATCTAGAGGTGGAGCGGGGAGGTTTCTTTGGAGTAAAGCATTGATCAGGGCCTGGTTTTGCTCGGCCATGCGGTTAATGATGTTGGTAAGTTCGATGATGTATTGTGGTGGGTTGTTTGGATGGGGAGGGTCTGTTTGATGATTGGTGGTATTATGGTGAGAAGCCATGGATCTAGTCGTGACCATATACCTGGACGGGTGAGAGGAAAAGGTAACGGGGAGAAAAGGGGGGCTCCGGCGATAATGAACACAACTAGCACACGAATAAACCACAAGTTCCCACAGACGACACCAACTGATGATGCAGTTCGCCCTGGGTGGATGGGTCGGGCTGGTCCAAGCTCTTCAAGTTCCGATTCAGGCGGATGATTCCACCAGATGACCTGCAAGCAAGTCCAAAGGGGAACGGGGTAGTCCCCCAGTGAACCCTCTGGCCAGCAAATCAGTAGAGGAAGAAGGAAATATAGAGAGAGAGAGAGAGATAGAAAAGCTTAACCTTCCTCTGGTCTTCGATTCTTGCTTATATCCTTTGGTAATCATTTCACTGTCCCTTGCGACGTGCCTCCTTTCGTCGAAAGCCTGTGCCGTAGCTTACCTTGTTCAGGGTGAGGGGGCTCTGTTCCGACGGGGAGGTGTTGTCGTAATAAATGCTGTGATGGGCTGCATTAATGGTGATGTGTTGTGGCAATAACTCTGCAGATCTTTGTCTGCTGATGTGGCCTGTGTTTCACCTGCCATGTGCCCGAATGTCATTGGCCCTCCATGCCCAGATGGCCTCCAGTTGTCCTGGACTTTGCCAACCGGGTTATGCTATGGGTCCCAAGCGATGGGTTTGGGGTTGTTTGCTGTGGGCTGTAAGCCTTATGGGCCTATCTATGTCAAACCAATTATTTAATTATAAATGATTAACTGCTCATTGTTGCCCGTATTATATTGTTACAAATAATTTGACATATTATTTTTGAGATATCTTATATAAGTCAATGTCTACATATATAAATATATATATAAAAAATATAAATGTAAATTTATATATGTTACTATATTCATACATTATCAATTTATAATGTTATATTATCATCAGATACTTTAATTTTCTAATATGTATCGCTTTATTAATATAGTTATATTTGCTAGGAAAACATTACGAAATTGTGTATTATTCTCCCATCAATTTATGTTTAATACATATATACATACACGTCATACAAACAAGTGTCCACAACAAACAATTTCAATAACCAAAACTTTACGGAACAACTCCATTACGACAATAATTGTATTTTTTTCCTCACATAAAAGATCACATTATTAAGGGAAAATGAATTTTAAAATTCATAACAATATGATATCACCTTAAACTTTTACTCATTAAAATATTTTTATTACAATGAGTTATAATAGTGAGCAAGGAGAAAAACAAGAAGATGGTGAAAGAAAAATTACAGAAGATCTATTGTAACATGCTCTCAAAGCAAAGTTAGACGAGCTGAAACATGAATTGTTCTATTTGTTGAGAAGTTCAATAAAAACAATATACCTCATGTACGTATTTTAGTCAAATTATTAGAAAAAATAAATGATGCTCAAACATTATCGCAGCAACTTAATGATGCAGAAAGTAAATACATCAAATAAAAAGTTTCGATTAATTTTTGTCATATGCTGATTACTTTACAGATGACATAATCAATAATATAACTTGACAGTTTTATAAAAGTGATTATGCAAACGCTTATAAGTATGGATCTAAAAATATTGTGAAAACAATTATGAAATTGCTGAAACCAAAAAAAAAAAAAAAAAACTATTTTTTTGGCCAATCAGGAGTGACCCCCAGTACCCCCACTGGGGGTCTTAAGCTTTATTCAAAAACAATATACCTCATGCACGTATTTTAGTCAAATTATTAGAAAAAATAAATGATGCTCAAACATTATCGCAACAACTTAATGATGCAGAAAGTAAATACATCAAATAAAAAGTTTCGATCAATTTTTGTCATATGCTGATTACTTTACAGATGACATAATCTATAATATAACTTGACAGTTTTATAAAAGTGATTATGCAAACGCTTATAAGTATGGATCTAAAAATATTGTGAAAACAATTATGAAATTCCTATATCGATCGAAATATAAATATAATATCATTTCATTTTTTTAAAAAAAAAACTACTCCACATTTTCTACATAAATGAAAATATATTAATAACTAATGTTATATTTTTCATCATGCAAAATATTCGGGGCATAGAAAACGAGACTCAACAACTCTTGATGTATAAAAATATATTATGTATTGATATTAATGCATTTTTACACTAATAATATGCAAATAATATGTAATAGTGGGTTCAATAATTTATATTATAAGATGAATAATTAAAAAAAATTGTGTAATTGTGCAATTAATTTCATACTTTCAATTGTATTATATGTACGAATTATGAAAAATTGAAGTGGGAAGTTGATAGAAAAAGATTTGTGTAATACTATATATTTAAAGGACATGTTTATTGTTTATTGTTTATTGTTTAAGATAATATTGTGAATTTAACAATCTAGTTATAAATTAATATTTATGTATATAAAATTTCTCATTTATCATTTAAAATTTTCAATTGAGTATGTGTTCATTTATTGCTTAGTTATATTTTAGATACATATCAATTTACCTATACAAGTGTTTGTACTTTATATATATACCACATACTAATTTAAGAAATACGGATAATTATAATATTAACAGTTGATAAAAAAACATGTGTCACGTGAGTGCAACATAAGTGTCCAACCACTAGATCTTTACAAAAATCTAAAAAATAAACTAAAATAATTACCCATCCAAAAAAAATATAGAATAATTAATTTTTAATACAATAGTAAAACCTTACCGTCATAAAATAAAATTAAAATTAAAGAACAAAAGAAAAGAGGCAGTAAAAATCAATCAATCTAATTTTTATCATGGGCAGCTTGCACTTTTACCCGATCCGCCATAATAAAATTCAGGCTCTTCAGCGTAACCTCCGATGTAAAAAACCCCATAGCAACCATATTCATCTACGTAAGTGTACGCGAAATCGGGTCGTTTGAAGTACACCTCCTTTTGAGAATTAATTTCAGCAACACTCATTTGTTTTACGCATCCGGACATGTTTGACGCATCATAGGGTAAATACCCACTACCCATAGCCGTTGTAGTGTGGGGCTGATGGGTTCCTGTCTTAAAGCTGTAAACTTCTCCTCCCCATTCGATAGTTTCCGCATGATGCAATAGATTGTTGAATAAATCAGATGGCCAATAGCCTATGTGGATTAACCCTAACTGTACCCACCAATTATTCGTCTCTGAATCCTATATCAAGAAAGAAAAACGCATTACATGAGAGAGGGACATTTTCCCGTTCCAAGGGCACATATGAGATATATGTACTTAGAAACTTGAATAAATTATAAGGGGTGATTTGGAATGATTTAAATAAGTATATTTTTTGATTTTTTATAAAATATGAATTGGGTATGAGTTAGATTTAAAGTGATGTATTAGAGAGATGATGTGACTTAAATAAGATGATATGATTTAAATAAGATAGTGACTTTTTAAGTTTTCAACTTTTTTAAATCATGCCAAACAAGACCTAAATATGTAGTTTAAAGGGCACATAAAAAAGTGAGATTTTCTCTTTTTGTGAGTGAAACAGCTTTATACTCCTCTTTTTTATTATTTGAGCTACTCCAAGTAGTTTTAAGAGTTTCCTCCCACCAACAGTGGTATTATAGCTTTTTGTTTTTTTTTTGCTATTTTATAATAAGGTCTCGTTTGGAAACAGGCTAATTTAGTAATTTTTTGACTATTTGGCTAAAATATGAGCTAAAAAAAATTAGTATGTTTGTGATGACTTTTTGACTTTTTACGAAAAGATGTGCAAAAAGTAGAGAGAAAAGAGAATCTTTGACTTTTTGGTATGAGTTGTTGACTTTTTGATTAATTTAGTAACTTTTTGACTTTTGGCTAAAAAGGAGGATTCCCAAACGAGGCCTAATTTGTAATCAAAGCTTTCACAGTGTGTGTTTGTGTGTTTTTCAATAGTATTATGAGGTTGTGGGTTCAACTCCTATAAAGAAAAATTTGATTATAAGAGTTGTATATAATTAGTATTGATTCTCCATCTTGATTTATTGATTGTATTAGATTTTGTTGGTTTTATAACTATTATAAGCTAGTGAAAAAGAGAGAAAATTTTAGTTGTTGTGAGCTAGTCGTAGTACTAAAAAATAGTAAAATTTTGTGACTAGTCTTGGCGTAGTCTGACTAAAGACAATATTTGTCCGCACATGGTGTGGGCGTGTGGATTGGATCCTTAGTATTAAGAGCTTCAATTTTTAAGGAAGGTTCATCTTTATTTTTATGGGACTGTCGGAGCTATTTGCCCAACCGAGTTAAGAGTCAATAAGGATTAGATCAATTAAGGAAGCTTCATTACACTTAACCTTAAAGATGCGGGGAGTAATTTTATATGGTTTGCCACCAGGGACTGAGACTGGGAAAATTGTAGCACCAAGAGCGACTTTATTGCTTGTTTGAACAAATGCAGCACATGTTAAATCGAAACAACCGGTTGTCTTTGAAGAGTCTGCCTGGTATATACATAAAAAAATATCAATTTAGTGACATCATATAATTGTCATATGGTATGGCAAACTTTAAGAGTTGTTAAAAAAAAAAAAAAAAAAAAAAAAAAAAAAAAAAAAAAACAGAAACAAGAAGAAGAAAAAGTAGTAGTTAAAAGAGCACTTACTAATCAATTCTATTAATTATATTTATTTGCATACAGATCATGATTAATAAATTTATTACTGTAAATTTATTTATAAAAACAAGAGAAACTGATAAATTTATCACTTGATAAATTTATTAATAGAACTTAATGGATAATAAGGGATTGTTTAGAATGATTTAAATACGTGTATTTTTTGACTTTTTATAAAATATGAATGAGGTATGAGTTGGGTTTAAAGTGGTGTGGTAAAGAGGTGATGTGATTTAAATTGAATAATGACTTTTTAATTTTTTAACTTTTTAAAATTATGACAAATAAGGCCTAAGTCTTAAAAATAGGATCTCTTGATAATTTAACTTTCAACGACAATTTTTCTTTCAACAGTTTCGCTGTTGGGTACTACAGCATACATATGTAGCTCTCATCTTAAATAATCATAATATATACATGGGAAACACTGTAGTGCATATCATATGTACTTTATAACTAAAACGAAAAATAATATAATTTTAATTTTCTGAGTCATAATTAAAAATATATATATATTATAACTGAACACAACATGAGACATAATTAAAGAATTCATGAGTCATAACTAAAATAATGTCATAATTAAAGAAGAAAATTGGTTATAACTAAAGAAAAAAATCACACAAACGTATGGTACACCTTTTTTAAATAATTGTATATTAAAATTTTCCTATATATATTCCATCAAATATCTCTCAAACAAACATTAACCAAATTATATATTACTAGAGGATGACGTGGATTGTGCACAAGGCTGAAGATAAGCAGATGGTCAGTGCAACATGGGGAACTAAGGAAGGAAGTAGGTGGTCAGTGCACAAGGCTCAAGCACAACATGCAAAATAATTCATACGAGTGGTTAAATGGAGCAAGGATCCTCTAGAGTGATTTTTTCCTAAAGTTTCCTAGAGTGCTATATTGTGTGGTTGAGATTTAATAGCAAGTCATATCAATTTTTCTGATGTGATTTGCCAGTAAATCTCAACCACACAATGTAACACTCTAGGAAACTTTAGGAAAATTTCACTCTAGAGGATTCTTGGTGGGTTAAATGCAGAAAGTCATAAAGTTGAGGATGTGGAACCATGTTGGGGTTACGAAAAGTTTGATTGATAACGGGGGAGCCAAGGCCCATATATTTAGAAGTTGTACTAGATGAAGCCCATTTTGAAGGCCTAGGTAATGGTCTAAACTGGGGGAATTGTTGATTTTGAGGTTCAATAGCATAGGGTGTAGTGCAGTTAATATCTAGTTAACTATTTTTGTTTTGTTTTTTTTTTATTTTTTATTTTTGGTTATTTATATTTAAAAATGTGAGGTTTAGAGTTTGTTTTTGTGAATGCAAGTAGCAGTAGTATAGTATGGGTAGATTGTACTTTTTCAAAATTTTTTTTTTGATGTAAGTACTTTTAATTTTATATTTTTAATAAAAATTTCACATTTTCTGATAAAAAAAAAATTTAATTCAATGACTTACCGTCCAATATACAAATAATCGAGTTTGCTTGTCTCTATATACACTGGGATTTACCTGAAAACCATAGATATCGTCATGAATAGTATTAATTAATTAAAGATGAGAGATAATGTATGGATTGAATTGATGATTTAACTGCCCATCCAAATTGAATGGCCTCATCGCCATTTTTCAAAGCAACTCTGGAGGTACTGTAATCGTCATCTGATTCAACAAATGGATTATGAACTTCAATATCTCCTTCAACTCCTGAATACCTCAAGCCATTAGTTACCAAAACTGCCAACTGTTTACATGACAACAAAAAATTATAAATATAGAGACAGCAACCTCAAAATTGGAAACTTCAATTTTATTTTAGTTACCGAGTGGTTTTGTTTGTCAAGGGGCTTAAATTGTTGGGAAAATAAGCTGGGTTTCCTCCCGTATTCTTTCATTAAATTTTTGCCAACTCGTATTCTTCGGATAGGGACTGTGCCCTTGGGACAACTTCCACTTCTCTGCCACAACTGGGATGTGAGAGAGACTGATGATCCTCCTTCCCCCTTCGTTGATGATGGTCTTCTCCCTTCCATGGTTGGACTGTAATTGGGTGTCATCTGAATGACAAAAACCATTTGAGGAATAACTTTTCATTTAAAAATTTACGGATCATCTAGAGATTAACGTAATATTTTTCTCAACGAAAGTAATGCAGACCTGGATTGTGTGATTCCTCAGTGCAGGATGATTGAAAGCTGGTTGCTTGTAAATGTCAATGCAGTCGATAATGTCCCCATCGTCACTCTGCAACAAAACCAGAATTTTTAGGGAGTTTCTGTATAGACCAAGCCAAGTAATAAATTATCTACTTTACTACTAAAATTACTCTATATAGAAATACCTCATATCAAACATACTGAATTGAATTGCATGCACTTGCAAAACATACTGAATTTAGATCTCAAATGAAAAGTCTGGCCTTGCATTTTTGTCATCACCCCCCCCAAGGGTGATCCAAATAAGAACATCTTACTTCTTATCTATGTGCCCAAATAATTAATTAAATCATTTATAAATTGAGTTAAATGGATAGCACGGAAATGAGTACACAAAATAACAGGTATAGTAGCATAGGAAGCCATACCTTAATGGTTTTTTTAATTTTGGAAGGTTTTCCTTCCCTTGCTATTAGCTTCTTCTGTTTAGCGATTGAGTCCACCGCCATATCCCCGTAAGTAAAACCATTTACAAGTAATATTAACCATAGAAAGACCATCAAACCCATTTGAAAAATGATTTTTTTTTTTAAATTCCTCAAAGAGATTTTTTTTTCCCTAGAAGGATAAGAACATATCAATTGTCAATATAAAATTATAGTTTTGTTTTTAAATCTTCATATTGCAATTTTCCCCCCACAATTTATATGCTGCACCAATTTCAAACAATACCGCAATAACATTGCTATTAAAATCACACAAATGACATCCGGATGACTTAGGTAAATCATAGGAATATTGTGTAACTCAGCTTGCATTGTAATTTAAATGTCCATTTATGGTTTGTAAATGACATTTCGATGAACCAACTAGGTTTCATTTTTAGGAACAAAAAAGTTTGGTGCCTAAAATGTTTACATGTTAGAGTGATACATAATTTCTTTTTTTTCAATAATTTGTTAGTTAGATGGAAAAAAAAAATGATATTGATATCTATTTTACACTGAAATATATATTTTACCGTGGTTTACAAACTATCTATATTAATTAAGTTACTTTCGTCTTATCAAAAGAGAAGTCAATAAAATTATCCCAAATTTATGAGACTTATTGCTTCTGTTTTTTTTTTTTTTTTTTTTTTTTGGATAAATTACAAACATACTCCTTAAGGTTTACTTAAATTATAAATTACTCCCTGTAGTTCTGAAAATTTCATTATACGCCCTATGGTTTCTAATTTCATAATAAATAGGTCCTTTTATTAACAAATCATCAAGTTAATTAACAGTTTTTAATAATGTTAAAATTTTATTTCAGTTAACAATTCAAATAATTTTATTATTGTATAAATAAACAGTTAGAAATTTCAATTTTTCAATTAATTCTGTTAAATAAAAAATCTTGACAGAAAGATATTTAGTAATTTTCTAAATTACAATGAACAATTCATATTTTAAACAAATCTCAAAAGATATATTTATAATTCATCCTTTTTTTTTTTAAAATCCAAAGATTGATTAGTTTAACGTGCCATGAACAGTTCAGGGCTCTAACAATGGTTAAAAGATTGTAGATCAGACGAAGGATGGCTAAAGTTGCTAAGTCTGCCAAGATTAGCAACACAAGCAACTGCAGAAGCAATGCTAAGGCTGCAGCTCTATCACAAGGCTACAACTCTATTGTGTGTGTATAGACGTGTGTAGGTTAGGTGTATTAGCAAAACTCTTGTAACAAACTCAGTTGGTTAGTTAGATATTTTTGTTAGATCATGCAACTTGTATTCTTAAATTGATTCACTATTCGTCCAAACATTTTTTTTTTCAATATTCTTTAAATTGATTCATTCTTCAATACTATTCCTACACTTTTATTTACTACCATGAATTGGTTATGCATGTAGTTTGTGCTTGTCATTCTCGTTCCTGATAATGCACAGCTTTTAGCTTCAATAAATTGGCCATACAATGGCCTGATTCGTTCTGTTTTGATAATGGACATTGTGTTGGTGAAAATACCAGACAAATGATGCAAAAAAAATGAGATCCAAATAGATCAAGTTGAGGCACGGATATTTCATTTTCTCTAAGGAGATCAAGCCCACTGCGGTAGGAAGAATACAAATACCGATGCAGTAGTCACAAAACTATGACTTGTCCCCTCTAGGATTCAACAGCTCGACCACTTGTCATATGGTTCAGGCCAACTCTGCACAAGATGGTGAACCCAAAACTCGACCAAGAAAAATACCCTTCTTTGCTAGTAATCTCTCTTGTATAGAAAATAGTTAGTGTGTGTTGGTGTAGAAAAGAGTAGATGAGAGGGACTATTTATAGGCCACTAGGACCTTACAAGTTACACCAAAAATAAAAATGATCATTAAACTAAAGAAAATGGAGTAACTCCAAAAACTAACTCACCACCAAGTTCATGAATTCTTATTACTTTCCATTCATGAACAAGATAAGAGATTACCAAAGTAATGAAACTCCATTCATGAACAAGATAAGAGATTACCAAAGTAATGAAACTACATTCATGAACAAGATAAGAGGTTACCAAAGTAATGAAACTCCATTCATGAACAATATATATCAATAAATAAATAAAAGATATTAAAATGGACCAACAATCTCCCATTTATTTTAATATCAACAACGACAAGAGATATTACCAAACAAAGATAGACTAGTATGCATCATGAAGGTATGCTCTGCATTGAACCTTCATTAGTGAAACAACAACAACCTCTACTCCAGAGTCAGTAGTGGTCTCAGACTTGAACTATGACTGCTTAGGGGAAATAAAGGGGGTGCTTGGTAGAGCTTAAATCCAGCTTATTTCAGCTTTTAGCTTAAATTAAATGATTTTTGTGTGTTTGGTAGAGCTCAAGTGATCAACTTTTAGCTTAAATTAAGTCAAAAAAGTGATTATTCTTTGAGTTGCTCTGGAGGTGTTTTTTGATTCAGCTTAAGCTCGCAGTTGGGGATTTAAGGGGCAAAATGACTTAAATGCCCCTTACCATTTCAAGTTATTACCAGTGTGCCACGTATATAAACTAAACACAACTCATTTTTGTCTCTCGCATGCCTCTGAGAGGCGATTTCCAACGAAAGGGAGGCGATTTCTAACCAATCCTAGCTCTCTCTCTCTCTGTGTGTGTGCGTGTGTGTGTGTGTGTGTGTGTTCAGATTCAAATCTATGAGTGACAATCACTGCCCTAGAGAGGCTCGCGGTGGCGAAAAGCGACGGAAACCTAGTGTCTATGGGAGCCAAATCGACAGCCTCGTGATCTCGCAATCTGAAGGCATCGCGATCTCGATCTGAAGGCATCACCGTCGTCTCTCTCTCTCTCTCTCTCTCTCTCTCTGTGTGTGTGTTTCTCACAAACCAATAAACCATCTCTAGCGTTGTTCAGGCTGGTGAACGGTGACGAGCGATGGCACTTCCTCTCTGCCGTTCCAGATCGCGGCGGTGGCTAGGGTTGCAGACCACCGGCGGCGGTGGCTAGGGTTTCAGGAAGGAAAAGAAGAAAAAAAAAACAAAAATTAAATAAATTAAACAAAATTAATAATTAAAAACAAAATAATTAAAATAATAATTAAAAACAAAAATAAAAATTAAATAATAAAAATAATAATAATGATTAAATTGCACAATTAAATAATAAATTAAATAAAATTAAATAAATTGCACAATTTAAATAAATAATAATTTTATTTCAGTTAATATCAATATAAATTTAACTAATTCATACTATTATTAATTTTAGTATTAATTGATGGTAATTAAGCCATTAATTGATACTAATTAATTTGCAATGAAAAAAATGATACTAATTGATACTATTATTAATTTTAGTATTAATTGATGCTAATTATATTAACTTTTATTAATGAAATAATTTTTTTAAAATTAAAACTGAAAAAATGACAAAATAATCATTTTTATGTCATATAAGGGCAAAATGGACAATTACATAGTAAAAAGTTATTTTATAGGTTATTAACCAAGCACTACTCTACTGCTTAAATCCATAATCTCACAGCTGCACCAAACAGATTCACAACTATAAGTCATAATCTGTTAAGTTATAATCTATAATTACTTTTCCACAGCTCTACCAAATGGGCCAAAGTATTACTGCTCACACATAATAGTCCAGGTGTTGACATGAGCTTTACGAGCCAACACATTACGGCCTTGTGCTAATCCCAGTTTTTATGAGCATATTTGAGAATAAGCCTTGTTCTCATAGAAAGTGACTCCACTTTTATGCTCACATAGGTGAAATCTGTCAAGAATGTTCCTGTAATTGACACACCCCACTCAACAAGAGCTACAGAATTTCATTAAGAGTATAAAAATTCAACCCTTCAACATTACAGGACAAATGCACTTACATCATAGGGATGGAGAACAAAATATTAAAGAGTGCATTTTTACAACGACCATATGATTCGTTCTTTCCATTGAACCTAGTTACAGGATCTCTGGTCCCTAGATTGGGTATCCTTATACATGGTTTATGATTTTATAGGCTTTCAACCCATCCCCCTCGATGTATTCCAGACCCTATCTCTCGCCAAGGCCTTGATTAACAGATCTGCAAGATTATCATCAGATTTTACATAATTCATAGTTTTGATGCCATTACTCAAATAGGATCTCACATTACTGTGTTTCCTTCGAATAGGTCTGGATTTATCATTATAAAAATGGTTGTTCACTCTACCAATAGCAGCAGTGCTATCACAACGAATTAACACAAGAGGAATTTATTTTTCCCAAAAATAAATTTCATGTAACAAATCTCTCAACTAATTCGCTTTCTCACATGCTGAAGCTAACGCTATAAGCTCAACTTCCATTGTAGAATTAGCAATTGGGAAGTGATTAAGACCCCCTCCAATCACCACCCCCACACACACGTGGCGGGTGGTGATTGGAGGAGAAGAAAAAAAAAAGAAAAGAAAAAAGAAAAACTAGCCAATCGGAGAGAGAGGGGGTCAAAGGGGATGCCTCCTTGTGGGGGTCCAACTCATTTTTCTTAGCAATTATAGTCTGTTTTTTAGACTTCCAACATATAGCACCACCACCCAAGGTAAAAATAAAGCCCGAGGTAGAGAGAGAATCACCTGACAAAGTGTTCCAATCAGTATCACTATATCCCTCAAGTACTACAGGATACTTGTTATAAAACAAACCATAATATTTGGTACCAGATAAATATCTCATAATTCTTCCCATGGCTAGCCAATGATCTTGACTTGGTTTGCTAGTAAACCTGCTATGTACTCCAACGGCATATGCAATGTCAGGTCTACTATAGTCAGTAGCATATCTCAAACTACCAATCATGCTAGCATATTCATTTTGATTAATCATTTCTTTTTCATTTGTTACAACAGATAAATGTATGCTTGCATCAAAAGGAGTAGCTACATGTTTACAGTCTAGAAAGTTATATTTCTTTAAAACTTTCTCAACATAATGTGACTGATCAAGAAAA